CTCGCCGCTTGGTAATTTGGTGCGTTTGCGTGCCAGTGGCAGTGCCAGTGCCTGTGCCAGTGACAGTCGAGAGAGTCAAGACGCTACCAGGCAGACTAGTCGCTGGATGAGTCTCCGTTCGCGTCATCGAATTATTATAATTAGCATAGTTGGGGGGGACACAACCGCGGGCAGATAAACGGCATCGGAATTTATCGCAGCTAGTGGAAATTTTGTGAAAACAAAAGCCGCTTTCGTAAGGGGAAAAGTTCCAGTTCCAGAGGACACGAATATGCCAGACTCCGACTCCGAATCGGAGATCCTGGCCGGCGCCACCGACGACAACATCCCTCTGTGGACGGCTGGGAATGTGAGCCAACTGCTCGGACCGGCACGCGATCCATTGGCCATTGTGGTGCCGGTGACAGTCGTCTACTCGCTGATATTCCTCAGCGGCGTGGTGGGCAACATTAGCACCTGCATCGTAATCAAGAAGAACCGCTCGATGCACACGGCCACCAACTATTACCTCTTCTCGCTGGCCATCTCCGATTTCCTGCTGCTGCTCTCGGGCGTGCCCCAGGAGGTGTGGTTCATCTGGTCCAAGTATCCGTACGTCTTTGGCGAGTACTTCTGCCTGGGACGCGGTCTGCTGGCCGAGACCTCGGCCAATGCCACCGTCCTGACCATCACCGCCTTCACCGTGGAGCGCTACATAGCCATCTGCCACCCGTTCCTAGGGCAGGCGATGAGCAAGCTCAGTCGGGCCATACGCATCATCGGTCTCGTCTGGGCCCTGGCCGTGCTCACCGCCATCCCGCAGGCGGCGCAATTCGGGATCAACAGCTACGCCGGCGTGGACAAGTGCGTGGTGGTGCGCGTTATCGTCGAGCACTCGTTTCAGCTCTCCACCTTCATCTTCTTTTTTGCGCCCATGTCCATCATCTTTGTGCTGTACCTGTTGATAGGCCTGCAGCTCTACCGCTCCAACCTGAGCGATGGCCCGGCCCCAGCTCTGGCGCCGTCCCGGAGGCCGCCCCTGAAGAATGTGCAGTCGGACACTATCCTGTACCGCTACGCCGGCTCCAACTCCGCGGTGAACATCAACGGTGGGGGATCGGGCGCCCAACTGAGCTCCGTGCGGGGTCGACTCAATCACTATGGCACACGGCGTGTGCTGAGGATGCTCGGTAATTATGCAGCCCTGGGGTAGACCAGACATCAGACATCGGGCCATATGCCCCTAATCGTTCTAAGCCTGTTAATCAGTCGCTCTCTGGGCAATTTATTGCGTTTGTCATTTGTCATTTGTCGTTTCTCGTTTCTCATTTATGATTATGGCGATTGCCAAAAAAAGTACAAAGTACTTCAACATTCATTCACTCTTTATCTTTATCTGTCTCCTGGCAGTTGCTGTGGTGGTCTGCTTCTTCCTTTGCTGGGCCCCCTTCCATGCCCAGCGACTGATTGCCATCTATGCCCCCGCCCGGGGCGCCAAGCTGCACGAACAGCACGAGCTTCTCTACACGGTGATGACTTACGTCTCCGGGGTGCTCTACTATCTCTCCACCTGCATCAATCCGCTGCTCTACAACATCATGAGCAACAAGTTCCGCGAGGCCTTCAAGGTAGGGATCATTGTTGTATCGCACTGTATAGTCCCATAGATATCCGTTTTTCAGGCCGTGCTCTTTGGCAAAAAGTTGTCCAAGGGTTCGTTGAACTCCCGCAACCACGTCGAGTCGCAGCGGTTGAGGAGAGCCCTGAACTCCTCCAGCCAGACGCAACGCGTTTCCATTGAGTCGGCGGAGGCGCAACAGTCGAAACAGACACTAACGCAGGTGGGTTGTATGGCTATAGGTACCCACCCTGACTATCAATCTATCAATTACCTCTCGAATACTCTCTCTCAGACCCCGCACCATGATCGTCTGGCCCTGGCCAAGCCGCAGCTCGCTTCCCAGTACGCCATGATCAATGCCCAGATCAACTAGAGGCGGACGAGAGGCAACTCAATCTCCAGCCTCTCATCGAGCCGCTTGCTTCCGAATGCTAATTTATTTATATATTGTTTAAGCCAGATTCTTAGTTAGTCACTTGTTTTTGTCTTTACCGAGTCCACTGCTACGGCCGCTACTGCTGCTGTTGCTGTTGCTGTTGCTGCTGCTACCAAAGCGTTTAGTACAACCTGCATTTGCATTCATTTGCCTTGCAATTAGACCTTAATTACTCGCTCTCTCGCTCTGTCTACTATATATTTATCTACTATAAAGATTTTCATTCATACAGAATCAGAATCAGTGTCGGCACGAGTTCGCCTCAGCTAGTCTTTGAAGCATTAAGATTTACGGCTATTTAGTGTAAGAATAGTATTCAATGTGCTTCGCTCTCTGCAATTAACTTAATGGCGGCACGCCTAGAGGGGATTTACGCTGGAAACAAAAGCTTTGCAGACTCAAGAATAGAAAGAAGAAAGCAAGTACATATAGCTTTTGCGAATTCTATGTCTAAGAAAATATGCTTAAACCAAACAGAAGAACAAAAATGTGGCACAAATATTCGATATATATTTTAGAAGCTAAGATTCTAAGAAAAGTCATTAATTCTATTCAAATACTGACCCCCTTTAAAAGCAATTTCAGTTGGAAATCATAGAAATATAATATTTAAAGACATTGCTTTGATTGATTCATTATTTTAAGAGAGTCAAAATGGTACGACTATACAGTGAAATTACTTCTGGAAATCATATTCCTTTCAAGTCGATGTATTTAATACAATCTTAGGGTTTTTTCCAGAAATATTCATCAAATAAAGTTTACCGCATTCTGCTTGCCTTAATTTCTGTAGCGCTTTAGTTCAACAACCTAAAAGCCAGAAATTATCATCGAAATACATTTAAAGATTGATTATAATTCATCGACTTTATTGAACAGCCAACGACGCTGTTGAATCAATGGGAAGGAACCCTTGAGGAATTATAATAAACGATATACCCGAATTATTCCACAAATAAAACTTAGCATATTCCCATAACCATTCGCCTTTTTTCCGCATCCCGGTGTCTCTCTATCTCCCTTCAGCAACTACTAAGGATTCGCCGTGCTCCAAATGTAATTTGCCCATAAATATATTTGGGTTTTGTATCGATTGTGGCCTGTCGTCTGCCCGACTACAAATGAAATTCTAATGAGGTGCCAGGCGGATGGTTCAAGGTCATGCAAATGCGCGGACTCCGAGGCGCATTAGTAATCCTGCAAATTGTCATGAAAATGCAATCAGCCAAATGGATGCCAGTGCCCTGTATGATTTGTACCCCCAGACAGAGTGGAGGTTCACTTCAATTGCATAGAGGACCTGTCCGTTGGCAGGAGCTAGCAAATGCTAGGTGGCAAATGCGTCAAAGCCCAAAGCGCAGCGGGCCATAAAGGAACACACAACAAACAAGGCAACAAAAAAGCGAGAGTGAAACAGTCAGATGGATATAAACCACATCAAATTGTTCCACCAACGTCACGTAAAGCCGAACAAATATATATCACAGACACACAAAACACATGCCTGCAAAAGTGACGTAGAAATTATGAAGTTTTGTGATTTACGAGCGAATCGAGGGAGCAAAGCAGCAAAGGAAAAAACCGGAACGAATGGTTTGGTTCGAGTACCGATGCTTTAGATACCCTTGCTGCTCTATATCTGATGTTCGATTTTGATCTGTGTACATTAAAGACACAGTCAAAGGGGTATAATTATATAGTGAAAGTACTGCATAAGTGCAAAAATCTAGTTCTATGAGCGATTTTTCTTTAGCAGCTCATACTACAAATATTTTGATCTTATTGACATGAATCTATTACCAATCATATACACTGCAACTTTGGCGGAATTATCTTAAGAAACACAATGGTTTTTTTCACAAAGACTCTCATTACGACCGAATGTTTAGATGATTCTCGCAACCCCCAATATATAGAACAACGGTAGCACGAAAAATAGGGTGCTGATTGAATTTTCATGGCTGAAAGGGAAGGAAATGATAGGATATAAACTAACATAGCTCAATCCATTCGTATATTGATTTTGATGCAGAATATATAGACGTATACTGGGATGTATACTTTGATCAAGAATATATACACTTTACGAGGTTCAAGAACCATTATTTACTTTATTGAAATAATAAATAAGCGGTGTATTATGTAGGGGTATAAGAAAAAGCCCTGGGAAAAGTTAAGCACAACAAAATTTCTAACATCATTTAACGCGCTACAAGTTTAGACAAACACACCCACCCATCCATCCACCCACCCAACAAACACCAACGCAACTTCACACATACACACTTAAGCACGTACAACACACACACAAGGCAGGAAGGAAGACTCACGCACTGACACACGCGGAGAGAGAGAGAAAGCAGCACAATAGAGAGGCAAAAAACTTCCGGAAAGAGAAGCCAAAACACCCCCGCACCCGCTAAGCTTAGTAAGCCCAACTACCAACAGGTGGCGCTGACGCCAGCGTGGGAATTAATCAAAGCGAAAAACATAACGGACATCGGACGTGCACCAGCAACGACCAGGCAGCGATGTGGTTGGCTTTGTGTTTGGGCTGGACCGTGTTAGCCGCAACTATTAAGGCTTTCAGCTGTTTATTGCGGTAACTACTGCCACAGTGGGTACATTATTTATTGTTCAATTATACCACCTGCAGAAAGAACAGTTGTGGTCAAATAAGAAGATTTATATTCATTATATTCGTCGTAGATGAGTCAACCAGAGGAGCATTTGACAAGGAATGCAACGATGGGAATTTCTAGACCAGAAACCGAAACAGTGACAGCTTTTAACTCTACTAATTTTTATCAATCGCAGTAACCTCTTTTTGTTTTTCCATAGCATTTTCCTGAACAAATACATTTGTAGGACTAGGAAAAATCAGTTCCCAGTCGAGAGTGATACGAAGCACATCGTAACAAGAAAACAAGAAAAAAAAATTTAAAAAATAAAAAAATTAAAAAAAATATTTTCCTGACAGCAAAAGTGAGAATTTCAAATTAGTTTCGAGTCTTGTGAACAAAATTACTTAAATTTTTTTTCGGAAATATTTTCAGATGGCCAACGCTATTAAGAAGGTCATTCCCATGCTGGACCGCATTCTGATCCAGCGCTTCGAGATGAAGACTACCACTGCCGGTGGCATACTGCTGCCGGAGGAGTCGGTGCCGAAGGAGATGCAGGGCTTGGTGGTGGCCGTTGGACCCGGCGCTCGCAACCCGGCCGGAGCTGGCCACCTGTCCGTCGCCGTCAAGGAGGGTGATCGTGTCCTGTTGCCCAAGTACGGGGGCACCAAGGTGGACATGGACGACAAGCGCGAGTACGTGCTCTTCCGCGAGAGCGACATCCTGGCGAAGCTGGAATAAGATGCAGGGATCCCCCCACACCAACACATACCCACCCTACACACGTACACTGCTCACACCTCAGACCGGCGCAGCAAAGAAACTAATTTCCAATTTGCTAATGCGCTACTTGCGTTCGAATTTAAATGATTATCATGTGTTAAATGTTTATTTGGTATCTTCCACTTGCACACACACACTTGACCCAAACACACCCCCCACACTTGTTGAGATGAATGTGATAGAGCATACGCGGCCAGGTCATACCGCTATGGGGCGCCACATATGATTTTATGTTGCACAAAGCTTTGAAATAAACTACTTAAAGAGAAAATTGTTTAAAATTGTTCTTGCACTTGGTAACCCACTGACACTGTGGAGTCTGGTAGAAGCCAAATAGTGGAAGATCTCTTGAGCGAAGACCCAAGATGGAAATGGGAGAAACGAGGCTGGAAAATAAATTCATTATTTTGAAATATTTTTGACATTTGTGAAGCAGTCTACTTGGATATGTATCCTTTTACCAGAGTTTACACCTTTGGAAACGACAGCCCTACAGATTTGCCTACAGGCAGAGTTGCCACTGTTGTTAAAAGTCAATCCTTGACGTCAGCCACAAAATAAACTCTTTGTGCGTGGGGGCCGAACTGTAGCAACTTTTCCCTCCCATGAGAGGTGTGGAGACGAGACTCCCCTCCGACTACGCACCTGGCTCACCAACAACACCAACACCAAGAGCGACAGTCCACCCCACTCAACGCCACTCTACTGTCCATGGGGCAAGCAGCCTGTTGCGTGGGCGCCTCTCTCTATGCTCATTGGCGGCGTTTTCTTCGTGCCCGAGTGTCCGACTCGGGTCTGTTTCGGGCTGGCTCCATTGGTTGCCTTATCTTTTGGCGCTCTAATGGAACCATGCTGGTTGCATGCTTCCTCTACGAGTAGCTATAAAAGCCGTTGGTCGACCGCATTTTGTTGGCAATTCGAAAAGTGTTGGCATCAACAAGTTCGGAGGTGAAAATTGCAGAAAGTTTAACAAAAGTTTAACCAAAATTCTCAAAGTTTTTGAAAACATACCAAATTGGAAAAGACATTACAAAATTTAAAAAAATTTAAACAATTTTAAGTGCAGATTGTAGTAATTAAATTGCTTGAAAATGTGGTACATGAAGTGCAGTTGGACTTTGTTCGTATTTGTGGCACTCTTTGCCCTGGTGTCAGGTAAAATAATTTCAGAAAATTCCAGAATAAATATCAATATATTCTTAACACACACAAATCATAAAAGATTTGGTTTAAATTTCGTTTAAAATGGTTGGAAATTCGTTTAAAATAAAGTGTTATTTTTGAAGCATACTTTTGGGCCCTTGAAAATGGTGAAATTCTTATATCCGTTTTAGTCAGTTGCTGCTGCGTCATGATCATAAGTGTTTCTTGGAATTTCCTGGCTTATCTGGGCCATAAAAATACCAAACTACCAACTGATTAATACGTATTACCTATACTCCGATATTCTGGTTTGCCATCCCATAATCCTGCACTCCCCCATGTCCTCCCATTGCCTCTAATCCGTCTTATCAGCTTCAGTTTTATGCACATTTTCCTGTTGATACGCCTTTGTTTGCCCGTTGATTCAGCGGCTTCCCTTTTGGGTTTTCTATACAAATTCCTTAGTCACCGCGAAGGCAGGACAGAACATGGAGAAGCACGGAGCAGAGATCACGGTCGGAGGGGGCTGGGTTTACCACTTTTGCCCTCCAAATGCGTCGACGCTTTCAATTGCTGTCGTAAATTAATCCACACGGCGTGCCAAATAACAACCGGCAACCGACAACCGACAATGGTAAGCGGCACAGCCACGGTGGAAACGGAGAACGATGGACTAAGAGACAGCGGGAAATTCAGCGGGAAAAAACCCAAAGCGAACGTGTGAACCCGCCAAGCTGTGCCGCCTGCAGGCATTGCAGTTGTGGATGGCAGGCAGTCCACATCCATTCCCTTCTGCTGGTGGTGGCAGTGCGTGTGGTCAGAGATTGGCAATAGACAAGAGCTCAAAGAGTTGGGTGTTTCAGTGGATGAAGGTGGATGGTATGAGTGCAGATTGTAGATTGGGTTAGGTTCAGATTGAAATACGCATCAAATTCATCATAGAGGCGATCAATTGGAGTTGTTAGGGATCGAAAGTCACTCATCAGAAGGTCTTAAGGGTATCTGGTTGCAATAATGAAATTTATGAACTCACTCTCGTCATAAATCGAATGATTAATAATTATAGGTATATCTCACTAGTATTGGAATAATAGGCCCACACGACTATATGGCAATCGTAACATTAATAGGCACTGGATGATCTCATCACAGTGATTTGATGTAATAGATATATCCGCTCGCAAGGGATTCCTTGAAGAGAAGGGGGTTCTATGTAAAATTTTAAGAGCCAGCGAAATCAAACATCGTTCACGGATTTGTTGACATTTTTCAGAATTTTTTACGATTCTGGCCCGAAAGGGGTTCGAGATTTGCGGACGTTTCTGACTATCAAAAAACTACCCATAAAGCAATCAGATGTTGTATTCAAATCTGATTGACCAAGGCTGACCAGTACTCCCAGCTAATAGACATATAAATAAGCAAACCCAGCCAGAAACCATTCTCCGAGTACCTTAGTCTAGTGAATCCCCAAAACAATTAAATAGAATCAGATGATGTCCGTCATATATAGCTACACTTCACTTAGGTACTTGGCCAGAAAAAACCATTAAAAGTGAATTCAGGCAAACTGTTTTGAGGTAAGGTTATTAAAAAATGCCATTACCCCGAAGTGGAGACGCCAACGCGGTTTGCGAGTTGACCAAGATCAAGGATATAGCCATTAAAAGTGAGGGTCACGGTAATTAGGTGATGGTGGAAGCCTTACAGGGAGGAAGGATGTTCGATGGTGGGTTACAGAAGTGGGCGGCTGTTAAACGGAGCCTTCGTTTAATGACAGCCCTTCGATGCGGCGCCCCAAAAGGCATCGAGAGAAAGCCCGCTATCTCTGATGGCCTCTATGCCTGTCCACAAGTGTGTGTGTGTGTGTGTGTCTGTACGCTGGTTGTTTGTATTAGTGTATCTGTGAGGGCCCGGCAACAATTAATCCACGGTTTAAGTAATTGACAAATGATTACATGTTTGATATATGGCCAGGGTAGCAACAGCCGAGGGAGGAGTCATGATAGAATCGTCTGGTCTGACATTTATATTTATCTTGGCTTATGCAAACACCCCTCACATTCCTCACACCCCATCCCCTGTCCGACGACATCCCCCACGCTTATATCCAGGCCAATTGTTAGCCATCTGCGTCATGGAACTTGTTGCTGCTGCTGCTGTTGCCTTTGTGTAACCCAGAGATCTCCTATTCCATGCTGCTTCCACTCACACACTTTCACCGAAGCGACAGTTGCGCAAAAGCGTATTCACATCCGTATCCACGTGTCCGTCCATGTCCCAGCTGAGCCTTCATTGCTGACGCCTTCTGATGCGTTGCCGTCCATTTGTGTGATTAGTTCTTGGCTCTTCAACACTTTTCGGGCCACACAATGCAACAGCAGGAGTTTTCGCATCAAGGACACGTTGTATAAGAGCTACAGCGCCACAGGTAAGATGATGATGAGGCATGACTACTCCCACACCTAATACCTTCCACCAAATGGGAGGCATCCGCCTGAGTGCATTACTCAACCCGCTCTGACTCTAGCATATGAGTGCCGTGCCGTAATGGTCGCATTTATCATGGGTCGCGACATTAGTAGCCAAGCACACAATAAACAACTGCAGCATCCACTGTGGCCTGTGGCTTTCACTGGCTTACCTTTAACTTTTCCTTTTCCGTTTTAAAGAAAAACCTTTGCCTAGGCGCAACAGGGGACTGAGCTGCGGCTCATTTACCCATAAATTTATGCGCACACACAGTCTTGGCCCGTCAATGCGGCTGCTTTGGATGTGGTGGATCCAAAGAAGATGATGATTTATTCTAAATAGGAAAATATGTTTCATACTTTCAGGTTCCTGCTTGGAATACGGACATTCCTGTTGGGGAGGTAAGTGTTTCACGGAGTAGTCCATCGATTTTTCAGTTCACACTTTGTGGCTTTTTCTCAGCTCACGGCAAGCGTTCCGGTGGTAAGGCAGCAGTTGCAGCCAAGGTAAGATGGCATGCAGCTCATGATAAGTGTGTTTCTTTACTCGTTCTGTTTCCCCAGGCTCTCGGCAATCCTCTTGCGGTGGAAACTCTGGCAGAGCAGCTCTATAACAACAACCAAAACATTCGTGAAGACACCGATGACGACACCAACAACACCAACAACATCAGCAGCCTGAACAACATGCCCCCGAGAGCTCCTGCCTTGTCTGCACAAAGTGACGACCCTGAGGAACGGAATAGGAACCATCGAAACCATGAGGCCAAAGATCTGAAGTGGGCGCAACTGATGAGGCAACAGCATCGCTATCAACTGCGGCAGCAGCAGCAGCAACAGCAACATCAACAGTCACGACTGGGGGCCGGTGGCAGGGGCGGCGGACAGTACGATGCTGCCGCCGAGAGTTGGCGCAAGTTGCAGCAGGCTCTCATCATGGCCCAGGCCCAAGCCCAAGCCCAGGTCGAGGCTGAGGCTGAGGCTGAGGGAGAGGCCGAAGCCGAGCAGCAGCAACAGACTCTCAGCGAACTCTATGAACTCAAGAAGTGAACATTGAACCACCCCAGGCGTATACTTAATTTAATTGCCAAAACTATGCGGAAAAACGACTAAGCAAACATAGAAAAAAGATAAATGAAAAGATATTTATTGCACCACCATCATTGCATGTTGGGCCTCAATTAAGAATAAATTGCAAATAATTAAAAGATCCCATCGGTAGAGAGCAGATCAGGTTAATTGGGGGAGTGTTCCATTTTATAGCATTCAAAATGTAAATGAAACCTTTTCGTAGAATTTGTTGTTGGTTTTTATTATTATTATTACTATTAATATTATAGTACATACATATGTATATGTATGTGTAGATTTATCAGACACAGCTCACAACTGATCGAACGGATCAGGGGTCTTCGGCAGGCTCAGTATTGCGTCACTGGCTGGATGCCGCAATATTGGAAACGATATCAAGAACTTTGCTTTCATTCACATTCACTTAACCGTACTTAATCCCTAACTACTATGATATGCAGATACGATTTTAAGAGATTCAACCTTAATAAAAGCTAACATCGCAATCTCTTTGGCCTAGGCTTTGATCTTGGCGGGTATCTGGAAGCAGGCCGCATCGCCCTCCTTGTCGCCCAATCCCCAGTGGATCTCCAGGCTGACGGTGGGGTAAAGGGGCAGGATCTTGAAGCTGTTCTTGTAGGTGTACGTCTGGCCGGCCTTCAGCGGGCAGCCCACCTGCTTCTCGCCAGCCTCATCGTAAATGTGCGGGCAGGCACTGGTGCCGTAGTAGCCGGGGAAGGGCAGTGGCACGTCCAAAATGATGCCCTGAATGTCCGAGTTGAGCTCTTGGAAGTCGCGCTCCGGCCGGATCTTCATCATGATGCTGGCCTCCGTGTTGCGCTTCAGTATGCACCTGTTCTTGGGACAATTGGAGATGGACACTTCACTGGAGGTCAGGGCCTTCGACTTGGCTGTAGTATGAGAAGAGATTTAGTATCTACATATATTCCAAAGTTTACTCTCGGGGCAGACTCACATTTCGGGCAGGGCCTGACCTCAGTGGCTGTCGAGCATCCGAGCAGGGCGGCACAGATCAAAAACAGACCAGAGTTGAGCTTCATTTTGCTGCTGTTATTGTATGAGTACTATTACCTGTGGCTAATTGTAAAGAGAAGTGATATAGATTTAACGACAGGTCGCTAATTGCTGGTCAACTAGTCGGGCTATGGGCTGTGGCCAGGCCTCGAGAGCTTTGGCTTGTTATCAAGCTCGAGTCGAGGCCAAAACCGGTTGCACTCGTCTCGAAAGATCAACCTTGACTTAAAAAAGCGCCACACACGAAAAACATGCAAACAAACTGCAAAATCAAAGTCTCAAAATTCAGGCAATTACACCGCGGACAACACAAGGCGAATGGGCGGTCTGACAGATGCTTCAACAGACTGATTGGCACTCCAATGGGACATTCTTGTGAGACAGTTACTATTGTTCATTTGTGGTTCAGTTCACTTTCTTTCTGATTCGAGTTAATCCCAGTTTCCACCATCCATTTCTATTCATCTTCTGTCTCCCGCTAATTGAATAATTTACCAATTTCCACAGCAATTGTCGTCAATTTGAGTTGTTGGTTGACTTTTTACACGGAGCTACGGAGCTTGTACTTCCAGTGCGACTGACGACTGACTGATCGGCGACTTAAACCTGAGCCGCATCGCATGTGCTGTATATATAGAAAGATCCCCTCAGACCGACTGACTGACTCTCTGTCTCTGCTTGTGTGTGTCTCAGTCTCTAGCTCTGTCTCTGATTTTGCCTATGGCTTTGTCTCTGACTCACAAGCTTAATTGAGAGGCCATTTTCTTGGCCTGCCTGGCATGCCAAGCATCTGATTATATCGTGAATCGCAGGCAGTAACCAATTTTTCGGGCGCGTAAAGGTTTTTCCAATGAAAAGTGAAAAGTGAAAACAATGGATGGCAAACGAGTTTGGAAAGCCACTGATCGATATCCCAGTCTGTAAATAGAAACCCCATCTTAAAGCACATGTGTACACAGAACCGAACTAAGGCCAACAAAGGTGCGATGTTCACAGACAGGCTAATACCCGTTGCGTGAGTAGCCATAAAGTCTCAAGAGCCAACCAGAAGCTCGTAGAAAATGTTGCCAATCATTTCTGTTTGGCTTAGACACTTTCGATACTTAAAATGCAAATTGCATTGCCAAGTCAATAGCAGATTATATCATAAGCAAATCATTACCCATAAACAATCTGAAAATGGGATGGGAACTAATCCCGCCCCTGCTCATCGATCGCTGTTCCAAAATGTCATCTCATTGGTTATGCGGCACCGCACCCGACTTGCGGCTCTGACTTGTGCGAAAAGCGTTTCAATTTAGTTGAGCTGTTTAAGAATTAGCACCGCGTTCTCTGTTTTTCTTTGTGTATGTAGTCGTCTGTCAGTCAGGAAGTTGACGAGCTAATGACGTGCCCACTTTCGAGACGATCGTCGCTCGAGTGCCCATTAGCATTTTTCATTTAGAAAGTAGACCACAAACGAAACTGAGAACACAACCGAGCACATTACGGAAACGTGACTATGGAACTTGGGATCAACTTACAGGTGGGAAGCGAATGGCAGGCGTTTGTTACGGTTTCGGCTTGTTAACGGTCTGATTTCGGGTCAAGCGATCCGGTGACTGCAGCGATCGAGGCTTGAAATGCAACTGACAAAAACCGAAAGTTGTATCCCAATGGATGGTTCGAAGACAGCTCTGGCTCGGTCTCGGACTCTGCAACAGCCGGTTTGTCTCACTCTTGCTTCAGCAAACTTTAAACACAAATTTCCTATTTGAGTGCAAGAGAATTGAAAGTTTCCGGTCTTTTGTGGCACTCCTCACGTGAAAAGCACCAGCATAGATATTCGAGTGTGAGAGTGCGGTCAACGTTCAATCAGCTGAAACTGCAACTGCAGCGGAAACCGAAACTGAGAGCAAAACGATGCTGATTTACAAAATTTTTGTACTGCGTTGTAAGTATTTGTTGACGTAGTACTTCGCATACGGAATCAGCTGGAGATGGAAGTGGCTGCCTCTCGAAGCGAGGAAGACAGAATGGGGAAGTGTACTCGGAAGTGTACGAGCAAATATTTACACACTTACATATGTATGTACATCCTATAGTTGATCACCGAATGGGTGTGGCAGAGGGGATGGGTTGACTTCAATTCCGATTTGGAGAGCACTTACCTTAGATGAGTGAACCCTAACTTTGAGAATATCACTGAAGAATAAATGTACATACGTTTGTATACTGATTATTACTTTTTTCAGTTAAACGTTTTGCAGTTAATAGAGTACCGCTATAAATGCTGTTAACTTCCATAATTTCTAAGATGATTCCCCAGGCATATGTCACTTTTCCAAAAAATTGTCCGACAAAATAATACTAAAAGATGAGGATTGTGCCATATTTTAAATGTTTTTCTTTATTGATTTATTAGGAAAAATAATTTAAAACGTTACATTAATAAAATTACTATAAGACAGTATTTTAAACGAGTAGTTTTTTTGTATTATCTTTAAAAAAATAGTTAAACGTTTCATTAAGACTTTGTACACAAAAACCATAAAAGAAAACAAATATACGAATTTCTTCTTCAGTTTGGTTAGAACTACACACTAAAATTCCCACGACGCGAGAAAGAAATCTTATGGTGCGCAGCCATGTGTTGGAACTACATTAATCAGATCTACAAAATCAGCATACAATATCTCCGATATTCTCAACAGGTAGAAAATTAAATACTGGCAACACACATTTGAATATCGCGCCTACTTCTTGATGAAAATGGTTGCGGCAGAACAGTCTTGCTAATTTGGTGATTTCATATATGTTGCGAAGAAGATGTTGCGGAACTTGTAGTGCAGCCTTTGGCGCCAATCCAACTTTAAACAAGACACCAGAGGGCTGCATGAAATAGTATTTCTCTCATAGGTGGCACCACTGTACACTTGACTGCTATGAAACTATCGAAGCTTGCTGCTATGAAAGATAGATGAGAACGAAACTATTATAGCTGGCTGCTATGAACTAGTACTGTTTACATAAATTTGAAATGGACATCTGCCGAATTTTATTGCTTCCAACAAGCCGCTAATAACTTTACCACAATGCTTTCAAAAGGGATTTTACTTCTCTTTAGCTTCAATCTCGACTAGTGCGGAATACTAGTATTATCAGCAAGCCTCCTTCCATTAGAGTGCTTTACTTGTTGCAATTTGTTTTGTGGCTTAATGGAGGGGAACAAAAGTAAACCACCCAAAAGAGTGCTGAGCGGGGATTTTCTAGCTGATAAGGCAGATCAGATGTAAGATCGGAGAAGGAACGCGTTGACGAGGTGATCCCCCTCGTTCGTATTCGCGTAGGGAAGACAGTTTGCTATAAAAGCGAAAGGTGAGGCACAATCAGGTATCAGTCAGCGTTCGTTCGTCCCAAAGCCAACACAACACAAACCAAAAACAATATGCAGAAAGGAAGCATTCTAATTGTGGCACTTGTTACCCTGGGAGCCATAGCCGAAGCAGTGGCCCAAACGGTGCCCTACCACACACCGCCGACACAGCCACCTCGTTATCGCTTCCGTCGTCAGGTTCTGGGCGGCTCATTGGCCTCCAACCCGGCTGGCGGCGCCGATGCCCGTATGGATTTGACCAAGGCATTTGGCACTCCCGATCACAATGCGGTGGTTCAGGCCTTTGCGGCCGGCAACACCCAATCGGGTCCAGTCACCACTGGCGGAACTGCGGCCTACAACATGTAAGTGGATCACTAGAGACATGCACATCTCATAGACAAGTATCTAACGAGGCTTCTCTCGTTTCCCACAGCCATGGCCATGGTGCCTCTGTGACCAGGACACACACTCCCGGCGTGAAGGACGCCTTCCAGCAGGAGATCCATGCCAATCTCTTCAACGACGGCGTACACAATCTCGATGCCAAGGCTTTCGCCTCGCAGAACAAGCTGGCCAACGGCTTTGAGTTCCAACGCAATGGTGCTGCCTTGGACTACTCCCACGTCAGGGGTCATGGTGCCAGTGTGACGCACAGCAACTTCCCCGGCCTCGGTCGTCAGCTGGGCGCCGAGGCTCGCGCCAATCTCTGGTCCTCGGCCGATCGCAACACGCACTTAGATCTGACCGGATCGGCCAACAAGTGGATGAGTGGCCCATTCTCCAATCAAAAGACAGACTTTGGCGCTGGTCTGGGTCTTACCCATCATTTCGGTGGATAAATCTGGCTTTTAAATGATACAAATAGTTGATTTTATTTATTGAAAGAATAAACTTTAGAAATCGTTACTGAGAATCCAATTCCATATGCGTACATATACTGGGAGTGGGAGATTCTGTGACCATGAAAGCTGGCTGCCATGTCTACGGTGAAGTCCAAGGAGACCAGCAGCTGGATGCAGGCGCAAGTGGCTTGAGAATGTGATGAGCATAATCTTGGAATACTCTGAAAAGTATCGCGTGCTGAACTGCCGAGTATCTGAGACCACCTGCAATGGGGCCAGCATCTGAGTTATCTGCAGGGCACGACTCAGCCTCCCTGCTTGCCACTCTATGGAGGAACCATTGAACGTTGATTTCTTTTTGTTTCTTAAATTGAATCATCGATTTATTCATCTTCACTCCGTTTTTGCATTTGTTTTAAATAGTATGAACTACATTTGAATTGTACAATCTAGTTATTAATTAACATTTAGCCCATAATAGTACACAATGAGGCGCAAGTATGTGTTTAATATTTCCAGCTTTTGCATTCGCTTCTATTTTTTGGATAGTGTGTGATTTGCTTGAGTTTCTACTACTTGTTTGCCAGGCAACATTTACATACATTTACTAATATTTGAAATTTCGTGAATTACATTCAATGGGTTCTGTGGGTTTTATTTAGTGGTTGTGTTTTGTGTGGTTTCTTTCGTTTCGTTTTGCCCGTTTATTAGCGCGTACGATCTACGGATACACAAACAGGTGTATATTCATATAACAAAAGGTGAATAGCGCATTTCGGGGGAGGCGTAGGTTATGGTAGAGCTACTAACTACTAACCAGAGAACATTTTACGTATTCCATTGCGAGTCTTAAGCATAATTTTTACACAAGTTTCTTTCATTAAGGGTTTCGTTTGCTGTCTCTCTCTAGAAAAAATATACAATTACAATTAGATTTTCAATTAAATACATTAATTAAGCATAAATTATTACATAATTGTGCTAATTTCTTTCGGTTTCTATTTTCTGTTTATGCTTCTTGTTTTCTTCCATCCTATCCTCTTTTTGTATAGCATTTCCTGTCTGTTGTTTTCTTGATGAATATTTTCCTTTTTTTTTAGTCGTAGTTTTATCGAACATTTAGTGTACGTTTTACGTTTGTTTATTATTATTATTATAGTTTGTTGGTTGCATTACGTCAAGGTTATTAAAATTAATATGTACAAAGTTCAACTTATTGACTAACCATATTTTCAATTCAATTTCTTCAGTTTTCAGTTTTCCCATCATTAGCGCTGACTTTTCACCGGCTCTCAAGGCGCTCAGGGAAGTTGTTTTTCCCATTTCCGTTGCCTTTCCATTCATTCTTTCCATTTTCGTACCTTCTTTGCAGCAGAGAATTTCACTAATTGTAGCATCTAATTATTGGTTATTATTGGTATTATTTGTATGCTTCGCGTTTCTATGTGTAATGCATATATACTCGTATATATTTTTGTAATTATATATCTATGTATATGTACTGTATGTATGTTAGATAAGAAGCGACCAGATTTATCCTGAAACGAGACAAGTGAAAGAAAACTCCATTAGAATTTATACTTTTATCGAATGAGTCGCAGTCTCCGTCGCCCCTTGGGAGTATCTCAGTGCCACATCAACACTTCATAAAAGGACAATCAGCATGTTCTACAAATGACCAAGCCCATCCCATTCCATCCTTCCCTATCCGAGAGGCTAATTTATTCAGATTTTACCAGAGAATGGGAGTGGGGGAAAGGACCACTTGACACTTGGCAGCCTCTTGTTAACTTGTCGCCTGCCTAGCCATCAGAAATATTCATAAGCAAATGCGATGAGGGCGATAGGGAGAGAGAAACGGCCTCAACTATGGCAATTTTTATGCAAATTGGAGCACCCCCGCCACCCCCAGAAAAAAAGGACAAAAACTACAAACGCCTGAAAATTATGCCATAAAAACGAGAGCGCTAAACATTTAAAATAAGATTTCGCGCTGCTCTCGGGTTGGCTGCTGGGCGCTCGGCTCTTGGGCACATAACCAATAAATTGCCTTTGGTGGCGAAATTGTTGTCAGTCCGACTCCGGGGCGGTGGTGTGGCACGAACATAAAAATCAAAGCTCGTCCTCGTTTCGTCGTCGTCGCTTATCGCTGACAATTTTATTAGTTACAGCTTTAAATTATATTCTGTATGTAGATCACGCGCAATTTTTATGACCTGCAATTGAATTTTATGCGGCCCTTAAGCTTCGCGCGGAGAAAGAGGGAGACAGTGTGGGACGCAGTGTGAACAGAAAGCATTGCCTACTTATGTGCGCTTTATGGCCGACACCCACCCGCCGCCCCTTGGGGCATTAAATTTGTGTGAGTATGGGACTGAGTGAGTGCGTGTCACTGCCTTGGCCTGTGATTAGTTGCCACGCCCCCGTGGCATATTTGCAACGCCTTTCACGGACCGATTGGCAAGGCGGGTAAGGCGCCTGCAGGTGTCTTTACCTTTTACCCATGTCCTGTGGCCTCCTTCCTTCCGTCCGTCTTGCAGTTTATTACAAAACGTGTTGCCTGTTTGCTTTATTACTTATTTCGTGCGGTGCGTGTGTGTGTGTGTGCGCTCCTTCCTGTCACGTCATTATCCTTTGTCCATGCAACAAGTGTTTAAATCGCTCAGAGAGCTTTATTTGCTCGAGTGTGCGTTCTGTGTGTAGGTCTCTCCTTCTGAGTCCTTAAGGACCTTAAGCAGCTTGTACACAAGCCGTTTTTCCGTTTCCCCGTAACCCTGTCGCTCCCCTGCTTCCTTTGCTTTGTTTTCCTTCCTTTAGCGTGTGCCAAGCCCCGGACTGGAGGACTGGAGGACCGGAGGACCGAAGCGACCTCCGAATCGTGTCGAGTTAAGTGAGTGTAAATGCGGTTGGGTTGCCACAAGGATCCCCAGCACTCCTGCCCCTGCGGCAGGTCCTTGTGCTGTCTCTATGTCTGTGTGTGCGTCTGTGCCCTCGCTTATCATTGTTACCGCTGGCTGGCAGCTTAAATGTTATTAAATTGCTGACAATTTGTATTATGAAGTCGCGAAGCGCACTCGCTGACAAATTGATTTCCACTCCCGTATCCCGTTTCGCCGCTCCAGGATAATGAAATTTTCATTTGAATGCCAATGCGATGTGGTGGAAGTGTCCCTTTTTTCTCTCTTCACCATTTTCGTGCTCTTGGACAATTAGTTCTGACACTTTTGCGGCGCCAAACCTGTCCAAAGTTTGTCAAACAATCTGCGGGGATTAGGCCCCGCCGGACACATCCTGTCGCTAATTCAATTTATTCATCCGCCGCACCCGCTGGGAGTTTATTAATGATGCACTGGCATTAAAATTTAATCAAATGTGAGGCTGGGGGCCGCAAGGAAAGTTTCTGCTCTTTGAATTATTCAGCAAGTTGCGGACAAGTTTCAACACCTAAACGTCCTGGAGTCCTGTAGTCCTGTAGTCCTGTAGTCCTGTAGTCCTGGAATGGTTGCCTAGACATAGTCCGGGTACGGGCCGGGGTCTGGGTTCTACCTCTGATCCCCTCTGATAGGCCACAGGACAATGAAGCCGCACATTTTTTTCAGCCCCAATTCACATTTTCCGCCAGATTTTTCCCCAATTTTCTTTTTGTTTCCTTTTTTGTCAGCTAATAAATTGCCTGAAAATGCCTTTGTGTTTCACGCGCGGTTTCACCAGGGCAACCGCTGGAGAAGGGGGCATGCCCCCCGGTGGAACGGTGGCACGGTGGCACGGTGGCATGGCGGCACAGCACAGCTGCAGCCATAATTTGAGTGTGACTTTATTATGTGTCAAGTCAGTCAATCTGCGGACGATGATGTGATTTTCTCCTGCCACCTCTTCACGAGTTTACAGCGCCCCCTCAGACCCCGACATCTTCCCGGGCTCCGCTCCCGCCCAGATGTTGCGGCATCTTATTGAGTGGCATGTGGCACGATGTGTCGCTACTGGCTAATAAGCCGCGACTTTTTCTTAAAGTTACACGAGTTCTCTTTTATTAAATATGCAACAGCCTCTCGCTGTTGAGCTTCTTTAAGGCATTTGCATAATAAGAATAGAATTTCCCTCCCTGGCCACCCCTCCTGTCAGTCGCCGCTGAATTATGAAAAGTGAAAGAAATGGAAATGGAAATCCGCTCCTCATCCGCTGATGCAATTCAAATTATTCACTCAAATGAAGCGAAAGAAGAGCGGACCAGACCCCAGACCAGACCCCAGAATCAGACCCCGCGCCAAACACAAAAGTTTGCACTTGGCATAAATTTCGAAATGAAATCCTCTCTTCCTCCTTCCTCCGAAAGGAATCTGATTTTATTAGCACGTCATGCGATTGGCGCCAAAACTTGACAAAGTTACAACTTTCTTCTAGAACAACTTGGTCTTCTGCTAACCATTTACCATTTCTTTCATTTTTTTTTGGGTTTTTTTTTTGTTTTTTGCTGTTTTCTAATTGTTGGCTTACAGCAGAACTTAATGTGGAATTCAATTTGTGTGGGTGTCCGGACAGGACAAAGGTTTTCGTCTCCCTCTGCGGACAGTTTTTTTTGCTCGAGAAACTTTACCACAAAGCAAAAATGCCCAGTGACAGTTACCAGTGCGACATTGAGACAAAAAAAAAAGGAAGAAAAGAAGTGGCAGTGGCAGTGAAAGCCAAGCTGGAGGAATGTTAATCAGAGCTGGGAATAATTGAGTGGACAGGGAATCCTGGGGGTACCATATACTCGTGATAGAAATCGATCGCGGTTTCGTTTGGGGAAAAGTGCGAAAAGGCGCGCCCATGGTTAGAGAAAATTAGAGTGGAAAAAGACTGACGTATTATGGTACTTCCATGTGGGAATAATCATTGCTTAGAAATAACTTTATCTTGCTAGAAGATGGTAAAATAAATCCTCCTTCTATGTTTGTATCAGTAATCTTTAGAGCATCCATGAATATCCCTTTTTTTGGTACCGTTTGGGATTGATTTACTTTCAATTAAGCCTTAAGCCAAAACACACAGAATCTTAGAGAGTGATCTAATAGTAATTTTATACAGAGCTGAGAATAATTTGGTGGACAGGGAGTCCTGGGGATACCATATATTCGTATTGTACTTGTAGGAAGCACGGACTGGCAGAAGATAGAAATCAATCGCGGTTTTGCTTAGGAAAAATAGGGAAAAGGCGAATCCATGGTTAGAGAAAATTTGAGTGGAAAAAGACTGACGTCTTCCACTGCACTTCCCCGTGGGAATAAACATGTCCTAAAAATACCCTTTTCTTGGTAAAATAATTCCTTCTTCTATGCTTTTATTGGTAATCTTTAGAGCATCCATGAATATCCCTTCTTTGGCACCGTCTGAATGTAAGGCATTCGAAACTCACAGAATCATACAGAGTGATTATATCTAATAGAGTACAGAACCACTTTGCGCTCGAATCAATATTATTATAGGCAGGAATTGATTAAAACTTGACCGTATCTTAAGCCTGTCTTAGCATAGATACAAGAGCAGATAACACCTTCGAAATCCAAGTAAAAAACATACAAAAATCTCTCTAAATTAAATCTCTTTTAATGGTTATTCTAAAGCCCGCCAATCAGCGCACTAGACACTTTTAATCCTCCACAGGCAAAGCATTTAAATCTGGAAATCTCAACCATTAGCCTGCGTCCGCTCCCACCAGCTGCTAAGTCTGTGTAATTTTTCAATATTAGCAGCGTTTAACGCGCTTGATTTGAGTTGCACCCACACCACATGGCCAGTCAGCCGAACCACCCCCACAACCACCCACTCCACCTCCAGGTGGGCGGGCAGTGACCAAACAGTGGGTACCCCAGCGGGGCTAGTGGAGGGGCAAATATCGGTGGCATGCATAAGTCACCCTAAGGACGTAATTAATTTTTCAGCATTTGCTTTTCGACTGCTGCTTGCCAGCCCCAAAAGACGGGGACACGGAGTTGCCTTGACGAATTTGCGCCGTGGTTTGCATGAGAAGAGATGCCTGCTTGTCTGCTGCCTGGCTCGGGGGTTTTTCCCTCGACTCGGGACACGGGAGTCAAATTAGCGCGACTTGTGGAAGGACATTTGCCTGCCCACGGGCCACGGGCCAGGGTCCACGGCCCACGGCTCACGGGGTCCACGTATCCATGCATCGTCCGTTCGACGTTCGAAAAGTGGCCTCTTACATATTTTATGGCTTAGGTAAATGGACTTAATTTGCTATAATTTGAGTGAGCTCCTCACTCACGAGGGGCAGACACATGCCATGCCCAGCCACACCACACTTTAAAATCGCTCAAATTGAAAAGGACTTAAAGCGATGCCTCTTCCATTCGCTCCCGCCAATGTATTATGATAATTGAACGCGTGTAATTGCCCTCAAGAGCGGCAGACAAAACAAGAAGCTCACAAAAAAAACAACACATAATAAGACTCCACGGAAAAAGGAAATCCACGAAAAGAATGTCCATAAAAGATTCATGGCAAGTGAATCATGAAATGAAGTCAAGTGGAGACGATTTCTATATAAACAGGACACGAAAAAAAGGCGAAACCAGAAAGGAAAATCTTTAAGAATATTTCGGGGGAGGTTGGTTGTCGTCTTTTTTTTCCATATTCATAAAATGTGCCGTGAAATGACATTATTAACATAATTTATGCTGTCACATTGAATGGCTTTTAGGGCGGATGGAAATTGAAAGCGACTCCCCGCTCTCATTGGGCGCTCGTTACTCACTTTGTAAACTTTTTAGTGGCGGTCCAGCTGCGGCGACTCCTGCTCGTACTTCCTTCGTACTCCTTTCTGCATCCTACATCCTGCTTTCTTCTCCTTGCTTACTCCTTACTGCTCACTGATCCTGCAGCTGCTCCGTAACCATTTCCGTATCCGTTTCCCATCTGCGGCTGCTTATAAAACTTTACACTATTGTCCTTAGAATTAGCGTTTTAAAGCGTTCCATTGGCGTTCCAAACACACACACTCACACACGCACACACACACAGACATTACATACACACAACACATACATGGATCATCTCGATCGATGGTAGCGATCGACTGGATCCTAATGCACCCATGAGGGCGGCGATGTCACCACACTGGGCTGCGAGTACTGTACCCGTGCGGCATTCAGATTTGTGGCTGCCGTCTGTGTGGCCAAGTCGAGGCTGCTGTTGCTGCTGTTATTATTATTGTTGTTGTTATTATTGTTCAGCAGCAACTGTTGCTGATGCTGATGGTGCTGCTGCTGCTGCTGTTGGAGATGCTGTTGCTGCTGCTGCTGTTGCTGTTGCTGTTGCAGCTGTGCCTGCAACTGATTCAGCTGCACGGCGGCACTGAGACTGCTGCTGGACAAGGTGGTGGTGGAGCCGCTCAGATTGCTGCTGCTGCTGCTCAGCGTTGTACTATTGTTCACCAGGCTCACCAGCGGAGCATTCGTGCTGACATTGGCCAAGGGTATATTGATGTCCAGCAGGCCATCGTAGCTCATCTCCTGCTGCAGCAGCTAGAATAAAATCATGTGATTATCTCTGATTAACAAGTACAAATCCTTTCACTTACCTCCTCTACGTTGCACTCCAGGTTCCCCACCGGAAAGTTCTCCAAATTAAATTCGTCTATCGGCTGCGCCTCATTGTTGAGCACCTCCAGGCATTGTCCTATCAAAGTAGAGGCGCAGTTATTATCTATGGCATTTGACATCAACATTTGGCGGTTAGAAGAAGATTTGGGAAGAAAGCAGGATAGGATACAGATAAAAGAGTTGTTGCACTTTCACACAGAGCCCGTCGTCGTTGCCGTTGCTCACCTTCAAATTCCACTTTCACCTGTTGCTGTTGTAGCTGCTGCTGCTGTTGCTGTTGCACGAGCAGATCCGAGGAGCCATCGAGCACCACATTGCTGTAGGTGTTGAGCGAATCCGAAGAGGGCTCGCTGTTGGGATACGCGGGCGACATTGTTGTGGTGACTGAATTGGGCGAGAGTCCCTGTTCAAAAAAGAGCAAAGAGAACAAATTATAATCAGAGCCCATGAACTCTCATTGTCATTCCTTTAAAATCTTTTCAATCAGAGAAATAATACAATATCTTACACTGTATAGATCTGCTTAGTGATTCAATAACAAAGTATTGAAGAAGTGTTTTTACACAAATCCATATGACATAAAGGAATTTAAATCTAAAATCATTACAATCACAGTTGAGACCATTAAAGCACTGCGATTAAAACTATTGATCACAATTATTGCATAATTAAGATTGTAATCTCAGTGAAATGTTCCAACAAATGACGTAGCATTGCTAACTAATAGTCGGAGATTCATTTAGAATGCATCAAACTTGTTTATGCATAAATTGAATATGTTTCCCCATTAATTCTGTATCCTATTCAGAAGTATTCAGAAATAATCCCACAGTCTTACGAGCAGAGACACTGGATTTACTCAGGAATTCCCAATTGTAAGTAATCCACTCCGTAGAGTCCGTATAGCCCCACTAAATCACATCACAGCCCTCTAGATTCTACGATTCTTTGATCTTATCTTATTGCCAGTATTGACGATCAGACGATTCTCAAGGTCCCTAAGATAGGAGTCGCAGTAAACTCTGATTGAATCAAATTGTACGAGTATCCCTCCGTTCAAATAACTCACTCCGAATGATGATGATTGATTCCATTGAAATAGTAGTAGATTGTTGGTACTTACGTCCCGCGCATTGTGCAGGCAGCTGCAGTTGAGTGATCGGTGCAGCAGGCACTGGGACTGTGACTGTGGCTGCAGCGTCTGGTAGCCGCCGGGGGCGGGGCCGTTCAGCGAGTAGGATGGCTGCTGCTGTTGTTGCTGCTGGAGCTGCGGGGGCTGGTAGGGCGGCGGCGGCGGCTGCGATGGTAGGCCCGAGGCGGCGCTGAACCTACTCCAGCCGTACGATCGTTGAGTGGCAAGAACGAGAAGAGAAGGTGACTTTATAGACATGTTTTTTCTATGGATAACCGATGGGAATCGACTGTGGCAAGACATGCAAGGCACATGCACATGTACGTGTACGTGTTGTGGCATGCAACAATCAACGCAAAAGGAACAACATAAGAGTGTGTGTGTTTGGGAAGTGGGGTTACATGGGACGGCACACATAAGGTAAACCAAACGAAAGACACTCTCAACACTCATCGAGAACTGACCCTTGCTGCTGCTGCTGTTGTTGTTGCTGCTGCTGTTGTTGCTGTTGCTGCTGTTGGTTGCACAGCGTCAGCTCGTCCGCCATGGAGCCCGTGAGCTCCTCGAGGGCCTGGGCATGGGCCTGTGTCATCGTCGTATTCTGGTAGTCAACCGGGAAGCCCCAGAGATCCTGGGGCTCGAGATCCTGGGCTCGTATCGGACTGAGGCGTCCGCAGGAACTGGCATTGGATGAGGCGCGCTGACGGAAATCAGGCGACAATTGGAACCCGCCGCCGCTTCAATATCGCACACAAAAACGCAGAAAGAAAACGGAAAGAAAAACAAAAAAAGAAAAAATTGCGGATAAATTATAAGAATAAATGCAAAAAACAACAAATCAAAGGACAAAACTTATATGTAGACAAGACTGGAGGACGGACGGTTACGAGGTAAAATGAGATCCAAAAGTGACTCAAAAGAGACTCAAAAAATTCTACAAATCAATCGCACAACTGAAGCTCAAGCGCCGATTGTTGAGTGTTGATTGAATAAACTTCTAGCCGATCATGCTCTATAAGCGATACGTACTAAGAGCTGAGATATATACTAATTTAACTTAACTAAAACAACTATTATTCTACACTACTTTATGCAATAAGATATCATGCTTAAATTGTTCTTAAACCTACAGTTAAATGGGTACTATTTGGGCTATAAAGTAATAACAAAATTGGTAGTATGCATATTTGACCCTTTCCTACAGTTCTACAAGATAAAGAATCGATTCGTGATGCATGGCAATTCTCTCACAATCTTCTGTGTCAGTGGCGAAGCGTGCTTTAATTTCCATTCCCATGGCTCTGGGGCAAGGCACTCGTTCATCGCGTGTGAGACAATGCGAATGTAATCATAGGAAACGGCACTCAAAGTGGATCGATCAGCTCACCAACAATTAATCGATTAGCAGATGGCACGCTCACAGTTTAACGATCATTTTTAAGATCAATTGAATCGAAGAAGGAACACTGCCAGGGAAGACAAGTACTCCGATCGATTGAAGAAGATCTATAATATATCAGCGATAGATGAAATGATGCTGTCCGTAAGGACAGAAAGTCTGGAAAATATAGAATGCCCGTCGAAGGAAAGGAACAGGATCGATGAACATATCGATAAATTGCGATAATTATCGCCAGAAGGTCCGAAAAATATATATTACCCGTGGAAGGAAAGGAGAGACTGTTTTGGTTCGATATATATATCGATAAACAGCGATAATTGTCGATAAATACCACAAAAAGCTGATAATAGCTGATATAGAAGGGGATATTCAAGGGAAAACCTTTTCTTTTGTGAATATTGCCGAGTAAAAAACATTTTTTAATGTTGAAATTTCATTTAATATTTAAATTTTGAATTATTTTAACATTCAAATTAATTCTTAACTTGCTTCCTTTATTTGAAGACACCAGCAGACTCACGTTGCCCCTATAAGGGACCTAATAATAAGGACACATTCTTGTGTTCATAATCTTTCCTTTCGGCATTGCGATGTCCTGAGGCTGCGGCAACAGGTTGGAGGTCGAAGGTCCGTGAATACTGTGTTTGCTGGAATTGCGGAAGCTACAATTATGCCATACGTAGAACGAATATCTTTCGGAAAGATCTTAAGGGGTCAATGGGCGCCAATATATTCAACCAGCTACATACGAAACTCTAGTCATAGGAACTACCAGCTACAGGATTAAGCGACTAACTAATTGTAAACGAAGAGTCTCCTTTTGGAGAGTCACATTTGATAGTTACCTGTGCAGCGGACTCTCCGGAAAGTGATCCAGCCCCTCGCTGACACTGCTGCTCGGCGAGGGTGTGGCATCGTTGAGTCCCACCACGCCCGCCTGCCGCAGGGCCTCCACCCGCTTCTTGGCCCGACCGCGACGCTTCTCGTAGCGCGACGTCTCCATGGAGGCGGCACGGCGACGCACCGACTTGCCCGGCTTGGCCTCCGGATTGAGCATCCACCAGGAGGACTTGCCGGTGCCCTCGTTCTGGACGCGCATGAACCGATTGTGCAGCGACAGATTGTGCCGTATAGAGTTCTGTAACGAGCACAAGAGAAATTGGAGTGAATTTTTTAGAGAAATATCTTTTGCAAAATTTGCAAATCCCCAAGACAGAGCGAGAGACGTAACGTTCGCTCGTTCGTTGAGCTGATGTAACAATTTGTAAGCAATTTCTATGACCCCCCCATACTCCCAATCGCGAATACTTTCCCCCAGGCTCCCTGTGTGTGTGTGTGTGTTTGCTGCGTTTCCTTTTGCCGGTTTTGCCATTCAATTGTCTGTCGACATTTTTATGGTTTACAGGGCAAGGCAGGGCAGGGCACGCATACCCTCCTCTAATTGGAAGACGTCTTCACTAGACCTCGTCGTCGCAGTCGTCGCAGTCGTCGCAGTCGTCGTCGTCGCCTGTCAATTCATATTTTCCAGCAATTGTCATAAATAACCGCGTGTAAGCAGCGTAATGACAGCAAATCGACATTCGACTACACCAACATCCAATCCATACACAAGCCCCAACCCGAACCCCAGTCCAATCCGAATCTATAACTCTGTCTAGGTACTGGGTACTGGGTCCAACAATTACATGTCATCGTGTGCAAAAAGTGGAGTGAAAATGGGTATAAATAGAGAAGAAACAAATGGAATCAAACACGTTTAGTGAGGATTTGTCATCGGGCTGGAAAAAAAGATTGAAAACCAGAGAGGGAGAGAGAGAGAGGACTGCCAGCAGAAGCTGAGGATGGACTAGCAGGTTGAGCTGGGAAAAAAACGAAGATATGAGCAGGAAGCTAAATGGAGCATTACAAAACTAAACTAACTGTAAAGGCAACTTGCCACAGATTCCACCCACCCGCATAGACACCCAACCCTGCCACACAGCCACATCCCAAAAAAAAAAAAAAAAAAAAAAAAAAAGAAACGATTGCGACGCGTCGCGACGCGAGGCGGCACATTGGCGCCATTTATCACCGTTGCCACAGGACATGTGAGGGGGTGGGTGGTGCACAGACGCCAAAACCTGTGCACAGACAGTGCCCCTCCTTCCCCACCCCCTCCCCACTCAGCAGACTTTTCTAATACTTTTCATGGATCTGCTTTACTCCACAGATACTTTTTCCTATGAAAACTTTTACTTGGCGTCAGTCAGTGGCCAGGAGTGAGTCTCTCTCCCTCTCTCTCTCCGTCGTCCTGTAATGACATTTTCTTCTTTGGGATTTTCTCCCACTAATTTTACCCCCTTCGTCCATAAAGTTATCATTTTTATTTAAATGTTTAAGTGCCCTCCCAATCCTCCCATATCCCACTGCTGGCTGTCGTTTCCCTTTTCCTTCTCTTTCTCCAAGTAAACATTTTCAAACATTTTCTTTTGGCAAACGTTCTGATTATGCTAATGGCCAGATTGTGGAATTATCCGAACCAACATCCGCCCAGAAACAGGATGTACATATACATCTACACATTGGCGTGGGTGAGTAACGGGCACTGTATCTGTATCTGAGAAAGAAGTTCTCGATTCTCGCAAGATTTGGCAAGGGGTTAAGTGAATGGAAAGGCAAAAGGTTATGTCATATTTTAGGAAAGTAGGAGGTATTCATTTCAAAGGCAATTGCTAAGCAATTTGTAGACAACTTTATGGGGATGTATGTTTCGCATTTCTGCGATATTTTTTATGTGAGAAACTTTCTGAGAAAGATAATTATGTGCGTTGTCCTAGAATGTGGAGGAAATTGCCTTTACGATGATGATATTGTATAACAGGGGCAATAGAGTAACGCGCTTTCAAAATTCGATATATATCGACTGAGTATCGGGTGTCTTAGGGTCAAGGCACGTGTTCCGCGACTCTCAAAGATTTGACTGGCCTGCAAACCGTCTAGATTAATGCCTTCATGTCTTCTAACGATTTTTGGAACCTAATCTGTAATTGTTGTTCTTTTGAAGCCTTACAAATTCCTCACAAACTAATTTATGATTCTTTTAGAAATGCTCAAGAAAAATTGTAAAAACTTATTAGTGGCATTATGCAAAATGGTTTAAAGAAACAAGATGGCCTTTAAGAACAGTCAGCAGCACCAGCAGGCTGGCTGGCAGGCGCTTACACGCTCAAGGCCATAAAATCAAGGCAAAATGCAAACAAATGGCATTTATAATTTATGGCACACACTTCATTGAATATTCATAAACTTAAATCTGGCCAAAAAGCAGCAGCAGAGAGCACACACATACCCACAATTCATCTAACTAATTGGGACTATTAAATCGAGAGAGATATGAGAGAGAGACTCCGGCGACAGCGACCACATGCCGGCCCCCAAAGAGACCAGCCTCTATTCCCCTCTGAGGAAAGTCCTTTCCCCCCTCTCGCACTTGGTTACCATGGAGCTGCATTATGTGAATGTGTGCCTAGCCATCCGATGGAAAGTATCCAGATATAGGTCATCATCAAGCCACCACCCACCACCCCAACATTTCGCATCCATGGCAAAAAAAAAAAAAAAAAAAAAAAAAAAACATATATATATTGTATGTATGGGGAAAAACTGCGACAAAACTGGGCTTCCATTGAATTTACTTTTCGGAGCAAATGAGCAAAGACCCAAGGAATGGAAATTTCATACCAGTTGGAGTGTCGTCAAGGATATGCTGCCAGTAGACCCCAGTATCCCTATTGTTCCGTGTTCAATTAATGTGCAACGAGCGTGAATCACAATGGAAATCGATGGGTGGAAATCGTAGTTAAAGTTCCTTCCCCCAATTACAATTATTACAGCAAAAACTTTTTGCCTTACAAGAGGGGAGCTCTGATTCATTTCTTTATAATTTATATGAGTAATTGCCAGAGAGACGTGGGGGACGGGGGGGGAGGGAGCACTAAAATATATTAAATCTTGCAATCTTCTTCTGCTTCGACTGGGGTGCCCCAGCGTCCGGGACTCCACTTTATCTCATGATACGCTGTCATCTTGTATCAAATATGCATATTTCATGGGGCCATTCAGCCGCACGGAGGCTTGTACTGGAGAGCGGAATAGCGGAGCGCATTCCGTGGGTGAATCGCGACATGTGGCGCTAACTGGGTCGCCCCCGTCATTGCGGCAAGTGGCTGTTGAAAGAGGGGCAAGGGAGCGGGGGAGAGACATGTACTAGGTGGCGATACATTAGAAGGGTCTGGAAAGCAGGAGGTTTACTTGTGGTATTTCTAGGGGTTTCCTTTAATAAACATGGGACTATGTTAGAAAGAACTATTGATAGGAAAATCTCTAAGTAAATTCATGAAGTCTCCTAGAACTTATTAACATACCTTTAAATCAAAGTCTTAATCAGGATATGTTTAAAAAATATCTTCATCTAAAAGTTGCACTCCTTAAACAATAAAATTAAATCCCTTCCGCTTAGAAATTTAAATTCTAAACCATTTCAAACAAAAAACCTTTCAACACGCAGCATATCAAATGTTTTGTGGTTGTTCGCATTTCAAAAAATTCAACAAAAATCTAGCAAAAAATCCCACAAAAATAGGAACAAAATGGTAAAAAAAAAAAAAATCTTCATGGGAAACCCAGATCTATATCGGTTTATGGTAAAAGGTTAACATCAGAAAGGTGTAGAGGGGGGAATGTAGTGTAGGAGTAATCGGGCGAAAGAATGGGAATCGCGCCAATCCAATGGCCGAACAGCTGCAGCGATTCTCACACACAAATCAAATGAAACCCCAAAGTACTCCAATGGACTCGCAAATACAAGCACACACACACACACACACACACACTGGCAGCGGGGAAAAAAACGAAAGATTATTCGCATTTAGATGTGAAATTGAGATATAAATTTTTGAAACGACACTCTCCATGGCTCCCACACCACCCCACGCTCTCTCTCCCCCAAAACGTGGGGCAGAACGGGTGGAACGACATTGGCATTGGCCCCCCCTGCACCCAGCACCTCATTCATTCAGCTAATTGCTGGCATGCCACCGACTGGACAGCAGTTAAAATTTAATACCAAAACGAGTACCAAACCCCAATGATATTTGAAGGGGGATTTCAACTGAAAGATACCCTATGAATCTCTGAGAATAGAATATAAGAGAGATAGATTATAGGCTTAGGGTTATTATTGCTGGACAGAACAAAGAGATGTTCCTTATTAATCGCAATAAATGTATTTATTAACAGATTGTTGTCACTTGAGATCTCATCTCTAGAAATCGAAGATGTTAGACATAGAACGAAGAAGAAATTAAGCAAGAAACATCGAAGCATAGCTACCCCCGTAAGAACAGTGTTTCCTCACAGGATGTGTGAAATGGGACCCGCAAAAGTTATTAAGTTTATTAAAAACCCATAAAATAATAGTCTCACTTTAATGAAGCTCTACTGATGCACAAGTATATATAATTCTTTGGTAGATAATTCTTAATGAATCAGACTACAACTCATATGCAATTCTTAGGAAATTTTGCAGATAGATAGAACGCAGACTACAAGCACAAATAGCTTTACAATCTTTATGGAATTTTCCCTAGACAGAATCATGAATGTAACAAGTATGATTCCGAAAGCCATTCAGAGTCGGAAAACTTACATATGTTCTTCAGAAATAAAACAGGATTGGATATTCTTCTTAGATCTTAATGAAACATTAAATATCGCTAGATAATGGACATATCTGGCAAAGATAATGAACAGATCTGACAAATATAATGACTACATTATTGTTTTGCTGGAGACCATACATTTTTTATGGATATTCTAAGGCATTCTGTAACATATGTTACTCTTAGAATTTCACATCCAAAACATATCGTACATATGATATATCTCATAGAACGACATGTCTAGATCGGTCTCCTCTGTCCATCCTCTGTTCATCCCACGTTCATCTTCTCATCGTCCCACAACCCAAACAAAAACATCAATATACCCTTGAACTCCTTAGCTAAAGAGCAAGGGAATAAAAAAGAACACCATTTCAATGGTAGCAGCGGCAGAGCCGTAAGTTTGGTTTTAGATTCGATTTTTTTCAAGTCAAAAAAT